GTACTCAATGTCCTTGCATCCCAAGTTGCGACAGCTCTGGACACCCTGAACTTTGCCCTGATGACCGAGCGAAGCCATCCGTCAGACACCAGAGTGTCTCCCAGGGCACCACGGAACTCCAGACATGGGCTGCGCCCTCGCATCATCACGGAGCGCATTTCGTCTGACCGATCCCGCTCTCCCACTCGAATTCGAACCCGACCTTTGGACACGTCATCCACCTGGTATATACCGGCCTTATCCCCGCCTCGTGCGGCACATCGGGATGCCGCTGACAACAATTCTGGTCGTCGGCCTGAATCGATGTTGGATCACCTGCCACCACCTCGGCCGCTTGCTCCCTTAGCCCCACACGGCGGCCGAGAACCAGGACAGATGACGCCTACGACACCTGACTCGGATTCTGATGGCTCAGTGCGTCCACATCCAGGTGCCTCGTCGTTCCGACCGTCTCCTACGGTGGTTCATGGACCTCGGGAACTTCTACAAGAATTCACCATTGCACTTCGCAATGCACACCGTGAACCTTTCACGGCATGGACACAGGGTGAGGATGAGATGGTGCGACGGAAGAAAGACAAGGATTCCAGGCCCACCTACAAGACCATTGCTCGGTTCCTTCAGAAGCCCATTGAGGAAGTCAAGCAGGCATGGAAGGTCTATCAGCAACTTGAGGCTCGCGGCTAGGAACCCGGTCATCAAATGCAACAGCGACCACCGGAGGACTAAATGGTAGGCCGTGGCGGCGTATTCGGCTAGCGCTGCAGGTTGTTGTGACGGTTGGGATTGTAGTCATTATTGATCACATGAAATTTGCTTGCTTGCACTTGACTGCCATTTTACCAGGGTAATATTGCTTGCCGTTGTGGGTGTTGCCGCTGACGTGAAGTGAATGCATGACTGAGTTGCTCAAATCATGTCGGAACAAGTCGTACAGACGTACATTACCTGGACCCATGGAGCGCAGCCGACGTGGTTACAATTTCACGGACCTGGAGCCCTGCTTGACAGACCCATTCGGCACACTACGTCACCTCCGCCCCCACCAAGTTTCCCACTGCTTCTTCCACCTCCGCCTCCGCCACCGCCACCACCACCGGTGATTCTACACCCACAGTTTATGCCCTCAGTACGGAGCCCCTCGATCTCAGCTCCTCGCGGACAATCTTGCCCTGCCACATCGAAATCGCAGCGCACACGCCGCTCGATCTACAGCACTGACCATTCCCGTGATGAAGACCTACGCAGTCCAGGGCGTTCATCCAAACGATCTCGGACAGCATCCGCTTCGGCACCGCGGAGATCTCGGCGGCCTTTCACAGTATTCCCCTCCAAACGTGCTGGCCGTCCATCGCTGTCCCCATCGGCAAATTGCAAGCATTACTGTCATGCAATCCTGCGCCATGGGCGGAAATGTCTTTCCCCTTGTGTTCGTAGACGACCAGGACATTACCATTGCAGGTGTGCGCGGCATCAACGGCGGTGAAGCTTAGGTGTCGTATATTACAAACCTCGCTGCTGTGTCTCACCTTGAGTTTGAAAAGTTGCCTTGCATTCCTTCAGCTGTGCGCGGTTGTCATTGCATGTGTGTCTTCGCCGCAGATTTTCGATTGCTTTTAGCGGCCGCGCGAGATCTTGTCTTGCCGCTATGAACCCTCAATATTTCGAGTACCAGATCGACAGAGGAGTGGAATGGATTCGAATTTACTCACCGGGCACGTGGCGACCCGTTCCCGATGATGCTCCAGTGCTAGACCCACTCTACGCTTCCACGTATAGGGAGTGGCGCAGGTCATATCGCTTCCAAGTGTACTGGTCCGAAGACAGCACCGGAGGCACAACAACGGATCCCATAGTCACGCCCAGTTCGTATGTGTCCTACCACGTGTGGGAGTACCGAGACTGGCAAACACGAGGGTATCAACGACTTGGAGCTCCTTTACCAGCCATTGGACTCGCGATGCTCGTGAATGCAGACGCCAATTCCTCGGTGGGCTCATCGGTTCCGGATGGGGCGTGGCGAGAGCCGTCACCACCACCATTCTATGATCCTTGGAACGATTCGGAGTGACACTTGAGCAACATGTCGGATAAAATAACGCGGTTGCGCTTGCTTTGTATGCGATTCCATGTTGGGTTGTCTTGCTTGGTGTTGTGCGTTCCGTCTCCATGTGTTCGCCGCTTTCCTTTATGACTTTGAGCGGCTTGCCTGGTTGAAATGTTCAATTGTACAGTGTATGGCACAGCACGATGGGTCCTGCCTCGCTACTTTGACTACGACATCGTCAATGGCCCCGCGAACACGAGTGTAGAATGGATTCGGATCTATGTACCGGGTCCGTGGCATCCAGTCGCCGAGAACACCTTGGGACCAGCCCCGGATGACTCAACCACTTATCGGGAATGGCGCAAGGTTTACCACTTCGAAGTGTATTGGCCGAGGGATAGCACAGGCGGCACCAATACAGGTGCTGTTTCGCAGCCGGTATCTTATGCATCCTTCTATACTTGGCATTATAGAGACTGGGTCACCAGGGGATACCAACGACTGGGTCGCCCACACCCTAGCATTGCGCGGCCAGTTTTCGCTTCGGGCGCACCGGACCTCATGTACGCTGGATTGACCTCTTCATCGGCATCCTCCAACTCGGATGGTGGCTGATGCTCGTCCTCGCCTTCCTGGGGAGTCTGTTCAGTTCAATTCGATTCGGGAGATTGACTTCGATACCGGAGCCGTGCATTGCTGCAAAAGTGATTTCTTGCACCGTGGCTGTTGTTTCTCTTTCAGTCATTGTTGTCTGCAGCCGTACACCTATCAATTTGTCTTTCCGGGTTTGCGTTGTCATGCCGTGGCTAGAATGGTTTCCGGATCCTCAACAACCAGATACCCAGTGGGTCAAGATCTTTCATCCGGGATCATGGACTCCACATGAAGAACATGATGCTCCACCTCCACCGCACACGTATAGAGAGTGGAGGGAGTTCTATGCTCCCAACCCGGACCAAGACGGAGAGCTGCTCAATGTCACCATGTGGTACAAAAGAGACTGGGCCACAGAGGGCTATCGGAGAGTCGCTGCCCCTCAAGCTGGTCATGACTTTGATTCTATGTCTTTTCCTGATCATCACAGCGTGGCCACGCAATCCGCGGCATTGAGTATGTCACCGCAGCTGTTAGAAGCGATCCTCAGGTCCTCGGATGCGGCGGACTTCTCTACCGAAGAACTGACTCGTCTCCAAGAGGGGATTTCTCAACAACTGACAGCTCGCGCACGTCACGCTTCCATCAACCAGTACGTGCATCACGTGGAATCACACCATCGGAGACGGTTGGGGTCTCCGAACCATACCGGCCTGTTAATCCTTCCGACAGCTGCAAAGACAAGGCGAGTCCCATCTTCGAGCTAAATGAGGACTAGACGCACGCGAGTGGGGTAGCGTACAAAATAAGGGTGGTTTTCACACTTTCATTGTCTTGCTTGGTTGTTGCTTGTACATGGTTGTGCATGGTGCCTGTTTCTCTATCAGCTGGATCGGAGCCCGCGATTCGCCTTGCTTCTTACTTCGACATGGACGTCGATGATTCGAAGCAGCACCCATGGCTCGAATACTCGGTCTGGCAGGATCAGGAGTGGGTGCGGATCTACACTCCAGGACAGCCTCAGCGTTGGCACCGCGGAGAAACTGTACCTGATCTACCAGACAATTTTTCGGGAATGGCAGCGGGTGACTGATCCCAATGGGTGCACTGGTGAGCACGGTCAGGCATGGAACATCCGCGACTGGCAGCATCAGGGATACCAGCGCGTTCTGTCTCGAATGGAGTCCTTCACAACTCATCATTCGCATGATCAATCTCTTGGTCAAGTTCGGAATTCCGATGCCATTCCCGTTGAGGAGACGTTCACCTATGCCACTCCATTTTCTCATGGTGATCGCCAGGCTGCTTCACAACTCGCTTCAGTCCTCTATGGCGACACTCGTAATGCTCAACGTGGTGATCTCTCGTTCCCGTCTTCTGAGCGGTTTAGGGCTGTTTCTCGTTCCCCTCGCCGCGGTGGATTTTTTGGTCACCGATAGGGACACGGGGTTGAGCATGTGATCTTCCTGCGGAAAAGGAGACTCCTCGCCCCTCATTGAGGGGCGTGTGTGTGCGGAGTGACAGAATGCCCTGTCACCACCCTTTCGGTTTCTCAGCAGGGGGGCAGAGAGGACTTGCAAAGCTCTGCCCAACGAAGCTCTTTGCAAGCTCCTAGGATACGGAGTCTGATCCACTCCGCGTACCTGCGCAACTCGTGTGATTCAAAGTCCTCTTGGCCCGTTGGTTTTCTCGCTGTGTGTGCTTCATGTTGAACCTTGTAACGTTTTCGCAGCTAGACGGAAACCAAGTGACTGCAAGCCGAACCTTCACCTACTCGAGACTCATCAGTTGCACTCGAGACTCATCAGTTGTACTCGAAACTCATCAGTTGTACTCGAAAGATTAGCACTCTCCATCTGGAGTTTAAGTGTGTGTGTTTCCAACTTAGCCAGCAGAAGTCTAACACTTTTTCGGGGCATTTCCCGAAGCTGCTGCAAGGGATGCCTTGATTCATTTGCTGACCGGGAGATACCACCCTTTTGTCAGCAACCTTGTCATTGGGATTTGTTGCATCGGCACTTGTTTCAAGGTGTTTGTTCAGGGGGGGTTCTGCTGCCTTTGGATTTGTTGGGTTGCGAAATGAAAAGAGCACGTGGTTGCCCATTTCGACTTTCGGCGGCCCCTCCTGTCACCTGGGTGGAAAGTGACAGCTTCAAAGTTAGCCTCTAAAGGTGGCTTAAAGGGAAACCGGCTTAACAGTAATCTTGAGAATCCTCCAGTTTATCACCACTTTGAGGGTGTGTCTTAATTGGGGAGCCATAGAATGCTTGGCTTCCTTTTGGTTTCCCTTCAAGACAAAGCAGAAGGGGGTTCCCCAAACAGAAGTCAATTCCCAGTTCACTCCGGCGTCGGCCATTAGGCGCAGAAGGAAGCAGAGTCCGAGCGCCTCAAGGCAGAGATAGGGTCGTTGGGGCTCAGGTATCCAAAGCCAGTGGATCTCAAATCGGGTAAAGTTGGGGGCGAGTTCCGGCAACCTCACAAAGGTTTGGGTGATCCAGCTAGTTTTGTGTAGGTGCATTTCGGGGTTCGTATCTCAATGGATTCCGAGCTCGGAAAGGCTTTTGGCTTGCGAACTCAAACGTCTGCGCCTCATTTTGATTCACCTGGATGGAGCACGTTCTTCTTCGTGTATGTTGGAGTGTGCGCATGAATGATCGTCCAATGTACCCTGCTACCATTGTGTCACTTCCTGAGTTCCTGGACTTTAAGCTTCTTGGGATGGTAAATCAACAGTTCAGATTGGTTTTTGGCCAATCCACTCTGGAAGTGAGTTGTTCCATGACCGGGATTTCCGTATCCACTCATTTGTGGCTGAAGTTGACCAAGCTTGAGCACGGACACACACGCGCGCACCCACCCTCCGTTGAGAAGTCCTTCAATGTATATGAGAGGAAGGGCATGAGGAACCTCTCTAAGTTGCCAACAGGAGGCCTTTGGCAGGGACATTGGGGGAGCTTTCAATGGCGCAATGAAGCACCGGGGCGGGGGGTGTTGCACGGACTCAGGGCAAACAAAGGGAAACTCGCAATTTTGAGGGTGCCAAGGCAGATTTCACCGACCTGAATTTAATGGGATCCATCAATGAGGGACCATCATCAAAGGTGAGCTCGTAGTAGAGGTTCAGAAGGATCTCGGGCGAGAATTGAGGGGTCCCTTTCTTGTGGTAAACCCCTCGGTCGGCTAGCAGTGTCCTTTAGGAGCAAACTGGCCATGTGCTTTCCCATGGGACACAAAGGACCACCCTAGAGTGCACGCTTCGCGGCCACGGCCAACAAACGTGGGACTTCTCAAGGGCACGGTGGTTGAGCGATGCGACCAGAAAGCCTTTCCCATGTCTCCTCCAGACTGGGAAGTAACTTGACCCCTCTTCATTGCGCATTCATGGGATTGGAGTTGTTTCCAGCTAAAGGGTCCCCCATGCCAAAGAAAAACGCGGAGAAAGATTTCATGGCTTTCCTTGTGAACCCCTGTGAGACACCATCTGCAAACGGGCCCAAGGCCGCAAATCAGATCTCAGTGAGTTGATCCGCATTTTTAAGCCGGATGGAATGGGTCTTTCCTCCCAAAGAGATCCGGATACCCTCTTGGGCACCCCTCAAAATCAACCAGCGCTTTTTCATCCTGGGTTTCCACAGGGGTAGATGGGTTTAGGTTTCTTTGGTCTCCGAAGTATACCCTCCCGCGTTGCCACGGAGCCTGAGGGAAGGTGCCCGGGATGGACCGCTTGGCAACGATGGGGCGAAGAAAAGAGGCAGAGCAATGGCAAACCAGAGTTTGTGTTAATTGCGAACACATGTTTCCCTTATCCCGACTTCTGGTTCCAAGCCCCCCAATTCGAACGGCCCTTACAGATCCGGGGTGAGACTTTGGGGTTTTCGGAAAGCGTACCGCAGGCCAGAGAGCAGCAGAAGCAGTTCAAGGGCCAGCTGCGGGAGCCGACGGTCCGTGTGTTTGGCTGTGTTGTTAAGGTATCGGCTTCTGGGCCAAGGAGTTGGGTTCTGTTTGAAGCGGTTTTGAAAAGAACAGCCCCCGCAACTCGTGGCAACCCAGTACCAAACGAATTGCTTGGGACTCGTGCATTCGTACGTATACGCCGATGCGCATTGGCTCAGTTTGCGACACAATCTGATTCACTGTTTCACTGTCTGGCTTATCGGTTTTCATTAAGCCCAACTTTTTGGGCACAAGTACTTTCACGCGAATATCTCACCACCAGGGGGGCATTCTGTCACCAGCCTTTGGGTCGCATCATGAAACCTCCCCGGCAGGCATGTGTGTGTGTGTGTGTGTGTTGTGTTCATTGTTTGTTTGTCTTTGTGCCTGCGTGTGTGTTTTGTGCTGTGTGTGTGTGTGTTTGGCTTGGCTTGGCTTCGTTTGTTGTGCTGTGCTGTGCTGTGTTTTTTGTTGCTTGATGGTTGTGTGTTTGTCTTGTTTTTGTGTGTTTGCCTGCAACCTTGCATGCTTGCTTGCTTGCTTTTTTGCTTGTCTATCTGTCTGTCTTGCCTTGTCTTGCTTTGTCTTGCCTTGTCTTGCCTTGTCTTGCCTTGTCTTGTCCTCACGTGTTCTGTCTTGTCTTGAATTGTCCTGTCTTGTCTATTTGTTAGTTAGTGAGTTTAGTTGTTTGTTTGTTAGTTTCTTTTGTGTTTGTGTGATAGTGTGTTAGTGTGTTAGTGTGTTAGTGTGTTTGTGTGTTAGTGTGTTAGTTAGTCAGTCAGTCAGTCAGTCAGTCAGTCAGTCAGTCAGTCAGTCAGTCAGTCAGTCAGTCAGTCAGTCAGTCAGTCAGTTAGTTAGTTAGTTAGTTAGTTAGTTAACTAATTAATTATTTAATTAGTTAGTTAGTTAGTTAGTTAGTTAGTTAGTTGCTTAGTTAGTTAGTAGTTAGCTACTTAGTTACTTAGTTGCTTACTTACTTAGTTACTTAGTTGCTTAGTTACTTAGTTACTTAGTTACTTAGTTAGTCAGTCAGTCAGTCAGTCAGTCAGTTAGTTAGTTAGTTAGTTAGTTACTTAGTTACTTAGTTACTTGGTTAGTTAGCTAGCTAGCTAGCTAGCCAGTTTAGTCAGTTAGTTAGTTGGCTGGTTGGTTGGTTGGTTGGTTGGTTGGTTGGTTTGCCTTTTTTACTCGTGTGTATTCTTTCGCACATGCTGAAGAAAGAATCGAGAGCCCGAGCCTTGGAAGCTGAAAGGGCGAACCAGGGTGATTGTGCCCACTTGCGACTTAGGGTGCGAGAAACCTGACGCCTCCTTTCGGGCTGGTTTTGAAATCGACAAACGGAAAGTCGCACACCGAAAACGATCTCTCTGGTTTTGATCGCCACATCAACATCGGCCGCAGGAGCGTGCCAAGCATGAGAAGATGGTGCATGCGAGGCACCGCTTTGGGCTTGCTTTGAACCAAAGGGGCGGGAAGTGAATTTTAACAAGTGTTCACGCGGTCTGATATGCTTTGCGCACGCATCTCTTCTCTGTATATAAAGCGCTGGCAGCGAGAAGACAACTCTGCCACTGCCGCAGAGCAGTTGAGCAACCGAGTCACAGATTGGTCTTTACGACGAACGTATGGAGTCAGAATTGAGGCATCGCCTGTGCGACAGTCACCTGTTTACCTGTTTGTAGGGATAGAGCTCTGCAAGGACCCTTTCTGAGGGAGCCTCGGACCGGCCTTGGATCATGCACACCATCAGTATTTGGCCAAACACTTGCAGTCTAGAGTGCGCGACCGATGAATCCGCCCATGGAGCAAAGGAGTTTTGGGTTCCACCAGCTTCAAAACATCAAGCCGGCCGGCCCTGCCCCCCGCGCAAGCGACTCCAGCCAACAATGCGCCCCAAAACCCTATGTGTCAAGTTGCTTCAAAACGTCGACTGACGTTCTGTTTTTGTATTTGGACCCAAAGCGTTCTTTGACACAAGTCGGAAGTAGCCCATGCCAGTAGCTTGTCCTCTGACGCACCCAGATTGAATGCTTTGTTCATTTTCAACATCTTAACTTGGGCCCATCAAAGTGACACTCTCAATGCGTATCCTTCAACTGATGGCATCAGCCTCCAACAGTACGCCTCCAAAAGTAAGTTTCCGAACTGATGAGCCTTGAGAAGGGTTCCCTTTTTCTGCCTGTCTCCGGGCAACCGGGTCCATTGACCCAGTTGACCCCGCGTGGTCGCCGCAGTTTTCGGCGTAGGAACGTGAAGAAGCCCGAGAAGCTGCCAGATTTCGCGGGGCCCACGAGGCCGAGTTGGTGCGGTTTGGATGGGCGGTGAAGCAATTGGACCGTCCCGGCTTTTTCAGGTAGCCCTCAGTTGGGGGTTTGGATTGGTGCTCAGTGGGTTGGATTGGACCCTGAGTTGGGTTTGGATTGGTGGCTTGGAATCGATTTGAGCACTTGATTCTAGAGGATCAATGGGAGAGCAAAGAACGAAACTTAGAGGGAGGCTGATAGAGTTGGATTGGGGGATTGGCAGATTCCACTTGGTATAGCTCACTTTCTGGGTTGCACCAACTTTTTGGGACCGGTGTGAAAAAAACTTTGAAACCACAAGTTTCACGTCTTTTGGGCGAATCCACGAGCCAAGCTGGGGCGCTTCTCTCGAGGCGTGGGCAGCTGGGGGACGACTTCGAGCTCAGGGCTTGGGCCTCGGAGATGCTCAACGTTCTGAGCAACAGGGTAGTTGGCCAGGTGGTCTACTGGGTTCATAAGGGTTTTTTCGCCCAGAGCAGCCTTGCAACCATGTGGGGTTTTGGGCACTGATCAAAGTCTTTTTCAGGGTCTTTTTTTCAGCTGTCCAAAGCGATTTGACTGGATCTTACATGTCGGTGTCCCCCAATTGAATGGGGGAAGTGGGAAACGTGTGACTCATTCTAGGTTCTTTTTTTGGGGGTGGGTGGGGTGGGGGGGGGGGGGCATTTTGCAATGAAGTGGCAAGTCACCGAATTGACAGAAGGGGTCCCACCCGAAATTGAGATTCCTCTCTCAAAAGGCGTCCCACCCTAAATTGAGATTCCTCAAAAGAGAGGGAGTTTCTTTGTCCGGTGTCATGAAAGCCAGCCATGAATCGGTAGTAATTCAAAAGATTTTGTCGAACTACTTGGTCGAAGGCTGCCTCGGATCTGCCGGGGGAAATGGGGGGGCTACCGAAGTCAGGTGCTGGCTTTGAAAGGACACCACAAGGAAGCTGTCGCTTTTGGCATGTGATTCCCCATTCTTTTCAACCATCGTTTTTTTTTTTCTCCCCCCGACAACCGGCCGTTTTCCCTGGGTTTAGTGAGGATTGCTGGAAAGAAGGATCCCTGCAAAAATGGGAAAGGTACCCCTAGAAGTAGGTTCCTTGGCACGTCACATGTGGAACCCAGACCCATGTCCCTTTGGTCGCGCGGTCGAGGCTTTGGAACGGTTCCGCGCCGGCCAGGCTCTCAGGTCTGGCAAAAGGATCAAAAAAAAGAAGCTTTCGCGGGGTTTTGCACTTTGCCGGGGAAGCACTTCTCCTTTTCGCGAAACCGCGTGGATTCATCCACTTGCTGAAGGATCATGGGAACCCAGGAGTCAACCACGACCTGTGGCTAGGGCAATGCCGCTTCCGGGGGGAGGGGTCAACATTTCTTGGCTGGAAAAGAGAATCCGCCCGGCTTCTGCAACACTCCTATGCGAAGTTGCTGTTCCAATCCTCCCTGAAGTTCTCTTTTTGTGTTTCGCCCAGGAAAGAGGGCAGTCCGCCGGGGCTTTCAATATGCCCCGTTTTGTCGGTTCTATGACTTTTCGGAAAGGCCAACTTACTGTCAGGTTTCCTTTTGAACCGTAGGGTGTTGTTTCTATTTTGAGAATAGACTTCCACCGACAAACATGAAGGTGCACTTTCGCCCCCCTGTCGATTGACTACTTTCTTTCTGCAACAAGACCCTGTGCACTTCCATGTCGGTGAAAGGGACCGCTAAAACATATTTTTCCGAAAGCGTGGCGAAGGGTTCCCTTTTACACGCAGGTCTCTACTACTACTACTACTACTACTACTACTACTACTACTACTACTACTACTACTACTACTACTACTACTACTACTACTACTAGTCCTACCGCCATTTGCACCACAACCACTACCACCACTGCTGCTGCTACTACCACTACTACCACTACAACTACTTCTACTGCCACTACTACTGCTACTACCACTCCATCTTGGCGTTAAGTTTTTGGTTCCACGTAGTTTCCCACCCATCCAGAATATGTGAGACGCCTCCCGCAACGTAATTTGTCTAAGTCTGAGGCGGAAAGATGTGACGTGCCTTCTGGCAGACTGGCGCTTTCTGGCGCGCAACGGAGTGGTGCAGTGGGTCCCAGTTGTTGCCATTCTGTTTTGAGCGCCCTTCTACAAGGATTGGTGCTTGGTGTTACAGAATTTCTTGAGCCGAGTTCTCACTCTTGCAAGGACCGAGCCCCTTGTCAAGCGATGCTTAGAGGGCTGTCCTGGGCATTGCATTTGACAGCAATGCTCGGCACCGATAATGTTTGTTGCCAGCCTTTGCATTTGGACGACCTTGGCATCTTTCCCCTCGCCAAATGCAGAGAGCTGGTCCATTTGTCCCTTTGCACTTCAGTTCAGATGGTGGGTGAGTTTGATACGCAGTGCGCGGATCACCGCCTGCGTCTGACTGCGTGCGACAGTGACTGTTGCGCCTTTCATTAAGCCGAGGGGACAAGAGGAGGAGACGCTGCACTGTGACTGCCGCAGGGTTTTGTGTACGTACGGGTCGTGCTACGAACAGAGCCTGCTTGAATCTGCCCATGTCCTCACTTCCCGCAGTGTTTCGTACCATCTTACATCTTTGCCCTTGACTGTGATTCTATGATGATAGAACAGCCAGACAAATCCTAGAAGGGTTGAACAATGGTTCATCAGGAAAGCAACCCCCTGCTCCCTCTGCCTTTAACCTCTTCAACCCCCTGTTTCTTGAATCCTATGTTCCCTCCTTCAATCCTTTTCCCCTTCTGTTCTCTTCAGCCCTCTGTTCCCTCTGTTACTTCAATCCTCCCCTCTGTCATCTTTAGCCCCCTGTTGCAAGTCTGCAGGCTTGCATAAGGGTTGCAAGTCTGCGCTCTGTCCCCCCCTTCCCCCCCCACACCTGCGTGCCTCTCTGGGGTGCGTGGGATGTCTGGGGACAGAGCGGGAAGTCTTTGTTCAGCTGGGTGTGCGTGGGATTGCAGAACGCGCGCAGGGTCGGTGGGGTGGGCCTTTGTTCAGCAGGCGCGTAGAACTGCGGTGCTTATTCAGCTGGGCGTGCGTGGTGGCAGGGTGTGCGGGGTATGGGGGATGCTTGGGGGGAAAGAGGGGAGCCTTGTTTCAGCTGGACGCGCGTGGGACTGTGGGACGGGCGCAGGGTCTGCGGTTTGTTCAGCTGGGCGCGCGCGCGATTGTGGGATGGCGCAGCGGGGCAGGGGTGGGGTCTTTGTTCAGCTGGGCGGGGTCTGTGGGATGTGTTTTTTGGGCGGGAAGAGCGGGGGAAGGAAGTCAGTGGGATGGGATGGGTCCGAGGCGGGGGCGGGGGCGGGGGCGGGGGCGAGGGCGGGGGCGGGGGCGGGGGCTGGGGGCGGGGGCAGGGCCGGGCGGTGGTGGGGGCGGGGGGGGGGGTGGCGGTGGGGGCGGTGGCGGTGGGGGCGGTGGGGGTAGAGAGAGAGAGAGAGAGAGAGAGAGAGACAAAAAGAGACAAAGCCAGACAAAAAAAAGAGACAGAGAGAGAGAGAGAGACAGAGAGAGACAGAGAGAGACAGAGAGAGACAGAGAGAGAGAGAGAGAGACAGAGAGAGACAGAGAGAGACAGAGAGAGACAGAGAGAGAGACAGAGAGAGACAGAGAGAGACAGAGAGAGACAGAGAGAGACACCAGCCTGAGGCGCCTCTCGCGGATGACCTCGATGGCCAGACTTCCGCTGGAAAAAAGCAAGAAGCCCCACCAACCTGTCTTGGGCGCAGGAGGTCCCATTGACTCGACCAGGACCTCGCCAACAGCGCGCGAGGGCGCGGCAAGCTGCAGCTCGCCGGCCAAGAGCTGCTGGAGGCGCCGAAGAGGATTCCATAGGTTTCCATGGAGTCTTTGAGGGTGTTCTACACATAGGTTCCACAATAGGTTCCGCACATAGGGAGCCACACATAGGTTCCGCACATGGGTTCAGGTTCCACACGTAGGTTCCGCACAGGTTCCACACATAGGTTCCACACATAGGTTCTACACATAGGTTCCACGTTGCACACATAGGTTCCGCACATAGGTTCCGCACATAGGTTCCACACATAGGTTCCGCACATGGATGCCACACATAGGTTCCACACACGGGTTCCGCACATAGGTTCCACACATAGGTTCTACACATAGGTTCCACGTTGCACACATAGGTTCCGCACATAGGTTCCGCACATAGGTTCCACACATAGGTTCCGCACATGGATGCCACACATAGGTTCCACACACGGGTTCCGCACATAGGTTCCACACATAGGTTCTACACATAGGTTCCACGTTGCACACATAGGTTCCGCACATAGGTTGCCACACATAGGTTCCACACATAGGTTCCGCACATGGTTCCACACATAGGTTCCACACACACATAGGGTTCCGCAATAGGTTCCACACAGGGTTTCACACATTCCGCACATAGTTCCACACATAGGTACATAGGTTCCACAGAGGTTCCACACATCACACATAGGTTCCACACATAGGTTCCCACACCGCACATAGGTACCACACATAGGTTCCACACATAGGTTTCACACATAGGTTCCGCACATAAGTTCCACACATAGGCTCCGCACATAGGTTCCGCAATAGGTTCCACACATAGGTTCCGCACATGGATGCCACATAGGTTCCACACACATAGTTCCGCACCCGGTTTTTCCGCAACATAGTTCCACACAAGGGTTCCACACATAGGTTCCACACATAGGGCCACACATAGGTTCCACACATGGTTCCACACAACGGTTCCGCACATAGGTTCCGCACATAGTTCCACACATAGGTTCCACACATAGGTTCGCACATAGGTTCCACACATAGGTTCCACACATAGGTTTCACACATAGGTTCCGCACATAAGTTCCACACATAGGCTCCGCACATAGGTTCCACACATAGGTTCTGCAGATAGGTTCCACACATGGGTTCCACACATAGGTTCCGCACATATAGGTGCCACACATAGGTTCCACACATAGGTTCCACACATCGGTTCCGCACATAGGTTCCACACATAGGTTCCACACATAGGTTCCGCACATAGGTTCCACACATAGGTTCCACACATAGGTTTCACACATAGGTTCCGCACATAAGTTCCACACATAGGCTCCGCACATAGGTTCCACACATAGGTTCCACACATAGGTTCCACACATAGGTTCTACACATAGGTTCCACGTTGCACACATAGGTTCCACACGTAGGTTCCGCACATAGGTTCCACACATAGGTTCCGCACATAGGTTCCACACATAGGTTCCACACACAGGTTCCAGACGTTTCACACACAGGTTCCACACATAGGTTCCGCACATAGGTTCCACACACATAGGTTCCACACATAGGTTCCGCACATGGGTTCCGCACATAGGTTCCACACATGGGTTCCACACATAGGTTCCGCACATATAGGTGCCACACATAGGTTCCACACATAGGTTCCACACATAGGTTCCGCACATAGGTTCCACACATAGGTTCCGCACATAGGTTCCGCACATAGGTTCCACACATAGGTTCCACACACAGGTTTCACACATAGGTTCCGCTCATAAGTTCCACACATAGGCTCCGCACATAGGTTCCACACATAGGTTCCACACATAGGTTCTACACATAGGTTCCACGTTGCACACATAGGTTCCGCACGTAGGCTCCACACATAGGTTCCGCACATAGGTTCCACGCATAACTTCCACACATAGGTTCCACACATAGGTTCCACACATAGGTTCCGCACACAGGTTCCGCACATTGGTTCCACACATAGGTTCCACACATCGGTTCCACACATAGGTTCCACATAGGTTCCACACATAGGTTCCACACACAGGTTCCACACATAGGTTCCACACATAGGTTCCGCTCATAGGTTCCGCACATAGGTTCCACACGTAGGTTCCGCACATAGGTTCCACACATAGGTTCCACACATAGGTTCCGCACATAGGTTCCACACATAGGTTCCACACACAGGTTCTTGACAAAGGTTCCGCACATAGGTTCCACACATAGGTTCCACACATAGGTTCCGCACATAGGTTCCGCACATAGGTTCCACACATAGGTTCCACACATAGGTTGCACACATAGGTTCCACACGCAGGTTCCACACATAGGTTCCGCACATAGGTTCCACACATAGGTTCCGCACATAGGTTACGCACATAGGTTCCGCACATAGGTTCCACACACATAGGTTCCGCACATGGGTTCCGCACATAGGTTCCACACATGGGTTCCACACATAGGTTCCGCACATAGGTTCCACACACAGGTTCCACACGTTTCACACACAGGTTCCACACATAGGTTCCGCACATAGGTTCCAAACATAGGTTCGACACATAGGTTCCACACATAGGTTCCGCACATGGGTTCCGCACATAGGTTCCACACATAGGTTCCACACATAGGTTCCACACATAGGTTCCACACATAGGTTCCGCACATAGGTTCCACACATAGGTTCCACACATAGGTTCCGCACATAGGTTCCACACATAGGTTCCACACATAGGTTTCACACATAGGTTCCACACATAGGTTCCACACATAGGTTCCACACATAGGTTCCGCACATAGGTTCCACACATAGGTTCCGCACATAGGTTCCACACATAGGTTTCACACATAGGTTCCACACATAGGTTCCACACATAGGTTCCGCACATAGGTTCCACACATAGGTTCCACACATAGGTTCCGCACATAGGTTCCGCACATAGGTTCCACACATAGGTTCCGCACATAGGTTCCGCACATAGGTTCCACACATAGGTTCCGCACGTAGGCTCCACACATAGGTTCCGCACATAGATTCCACACAGGGTTCCACACATAGGTTCCACACATAGGTTCCGCACATAGGTTCCACACATAGGTTCCACACATAGGTTCACACATAGGTTCCACAGCACACATAGGTTCCACACATAGGTTCCACACATAGGTTCCACACATAGGTTCCACACATAGGTTCCACACATAGGTTCCACACATAGGTTCCACACATAGGTTCCACACATAGGTTCCACACATAGGTTCCACACATAGGTTCCACACACAGGTTTCCATGGGTTTGAATAGGTGTTGTTGCTAAGTCAGCAAATTTTGAGCACATGTCTGGATTTTCTGAGGCGCAAGGGTGCACCCCCTGAAGTCCTTAAAAGTGTCTTTCAGCAGCCAGCACTGAGAACATCCCAAACGGATCCTATGCACGTGTAGAGCCCCAGGCGCGTTGGCTCTCCAAACCGAGACGTCAAGGCCGGCTGTCTTTTGTTAGCCCGGAGCTTGCAGAATCTTGGCTCGGGCAACTCCGCACGAAACGCGAAGCTAAGAACACTTTGGGCAGGCGCCATGAATTCCATGATCATGGCTATCATGATGGCATGTGCTACACTTTTGAAAGCAGACCCCACCACCTGCGAGACTGCCTTCTTCGGCCTGGTCGGCGAGGACTCTTGTGGAGATGAGAATGGTCCGGACGCGACCAAAGCATGCAGTGCCGTCTGCAAGCCCCTTGCGTGCGCAGTGGTCAGCTCCTGCGCCCCTGGATCCACCATCGCATTTTCAGATGAGACGGGGCCTGTGACCATCGCGGCCAATGATGTGCAGAGCTTCGTGCAGGAGCTTGAGGCTGAGCATGCCAGCTGCCCATGTGCTGCAAGCAAGGCCAAGCCATCGAACATGAGCAAGGCGCTTCGCCATTCGCGAGTGCAGAAGCAGGCCAGCACATCTCTGAGGAGTGGACAGGCTAAGGGACCAGAGGTAAGCGCCACAGCATGCGAGACTGCCTTCTTCGGTCTGGTGGGCGAGGACTCTTGTGGAGATGAGAATGGTCCGGACGCGACCAAAGCATGCAGTGCCGCCTGCAAGCCCCTTGCGTGCGCAGTGGTCAGCTCCTGCGCCCCTGGATCCACCATCGCATTTTCAGATGAGACGGGGCCTGTGACCATCGCGGCCAATGATGTGCAGAGCTTCGTGCAGGAGCTTGAGGCTGAGCACGCCAGCTGCCCATGTGCTGCAAGCAAGGCCAAGCCATCGAACATGAGCAAGGCGCTTCGCCATTCGCGAGTGCAGAAGCAGGCCAGCACATCTCTGAGGAGTGGACAGGCTAAGGGACCAGAGGTAAGCGCCACAGCATGCGAGACTGCCTTCTTCGGTCTGGTCGGCGAGGACTCTTGTGGAGATGAGAATGGTCCGGACGCGACCAAAGCATGCAGTGCCGCCTGCAAGCCCCTTGCGTGCGCAGTGGTCAGCTCCTGCGCCCCTGGATCCACCATCGCATTTTCAGATGAGACGGGGCCTGTGACCATCGCGGCCAATGATGTGCAGAGCTTCGTGCAGGAGCTTGAGGCTGAGCATGCCAGCTGCCCATGTGCTGCAAGCAAGGCCAAGCCATCGAACATGAGCAAGGCGCTTCGCCATTCGCGAGTGCAGAAGCAGGCCAGCACATCTCTGAGGAGTGGACAGGCTCAGGGACCAGAGGTAAGCGCCACAGCATGCGAGACTGCCTTCTTCGGTCTGGTGGGCGAGGACTCTTGTGGAGATGAGAATGGTCCGGACGCGACCAAAGCATGCAGTGCCGCCTGCAAGCCCCTTGCGTGCGCAGTGGTCAGCTCCTGCGCCCCTGGATCCACCATCGCATTTTCAGATGAGACGGGGCCTGTGACCATCGCGGCCAATGATGTGCAGAGCTTCGTGCAGGAGCTTGAGGCTGAGCATGCCAGCTGCCCATGTGCTGCAAGCAAGGCCAAGCCATCGAACATGAGCAAGGCGCTTCGCCATTCGCGAGTGCAGAAGCAGGCCAGCACATCTCTGAGGAGTGGACAGGCTCAGGGACCAGAGGTAAGCGCCACAGCATGCGAGACTGCCTTCTTCGGTCTGGTGGGCGAGGACTCTTGTGGAGATGAGAATGGTCCGGACGCGACCAAAGCATGCAGTGCCGCCTGCAAGCCCCTTGCCTGCGCAGTGGTCAGCTCCTGCGCCCCTGGATCCACCATCGCATTTTCAGATGAGACGGGGCCTGTGACCATCGCGGTCAATGATGTGCAGAGCTTCGTGCAGAAGCTTGAGGCTGAGCACGCCAGCTGCCCATGTGCTGCAAGCAAGGCCAAGCCATCGAACATGAGCAAGGCGCTTCGCCATTCGCGAGTGCAGAAGAAGGCCAGCACATCTCTGAGGAGTGGACAGGCTAAGGGGCCAGAGGTAAGCGCCACAGCATGCGAGACTGCCTTCTTCGGTCTGGTGGGCGAGGACTCTTGTGGAGATGAGAATGGTCCGGACGCGACCAAAGCATGCAGTGCCGCCTGCAAGCCCCTTGCGTGCGCAGTGGTCAGCTCCTGCGCCCCTGGATCCACCATCGCATTTTCAGATGAGACGGGGCCTGTGACCATCGCGGCCAATGATGTGCAGAGCTTCGTGCAGGAGCTTGAGGCTGAGCATGCCAGCTGCCCATGTGCTGCAAGCAAGGCCAAGCCATCGAACATGAGCAAGGCGCTTCGCCATTCGCGAGTGCAGAAGCAGGCCAGCACATCTCTGAGGAGTGGACAGGCTAAGGGACCAGAGGTAAGCGCCACAGCATGCGAGACTGCCTTCTTCGGTCTGGTGGGCGAGGACTCTTGTGGAGATGAGAATGGTCCGGACTCAACCAAAGCATGCAGCGCCGCCTGCAAGCCCCTTGCATGTGCAGTGGTCAGCTCCTGCGCCCCTGGATCCACCATCGCATTTTCAGATGAGACGGGGCCTGTGACCATCGCGGCCAATGATGTGCAGAGCTTCGTGCAGGAGCTTGAGGCTGAGCATGCCAGCTGCGCCTGCTAGCCATTTGAGCAGGAATTGCAGAATTTCCTTTTTGAACATTCGCGAGGCCGCTGCGCCCGTTGGTGTTGAGAATTCACAATCTTTTGTCTTTTGCTCCGCCCTTTTTGCGAGAGTGCGGGGTAATCCTGTCTTGATGTGTACAGGCCTGATGTGTAAAGTGCCCCCAGAGGTGGATGCGTGGCAGGACAAGTTGAACAACATGGGGGTCAGTGTTGTCGTACCAGTGGGTTTGATATACTGCCTTCCCAAATTCCAAACATCAAGGAGGACCCCCCCTTTTCGTTGGTTTTGCACACAGGGAGTAGGCAAACTGCCAAAGTATATCTGTCTCTTCCAGAGTGCCGGGGGATCTCTTGGCGCAGGCGCCAGGTGATGGGGTGCAGCAAAAAGGGCCGCTGCAGATGCAGGCCTTTGCCAGTGTCGTGCCAGCCTCGACTCGGGCTCCGGACTCCGGGGCTGGTGGAGAGAGACGTGGGTTGCCCCGGGAGCGTCCAGAGGAGCTGTGCAGGTCGCTGAGGGTGGGTCGCCCAAGTTCAATTGTTGGAGGCCCATCTTTGTCAGAGACAACACTACAGAAAGGCACCTCATGGGGGGTGGGTTTTTGCACTGGAAAAAAGCAACAAAAACACCAACACAAACCAGAGGTCATGGGTCTTGCTGATTGTTTTTGCTGTCTCGAGGTTTTTTGGCACTGTTCCTAAAAGCTTTACACAACCTCAAGAAAACCAACAACAAAAACCATTTGGCAGGCCTCGTGGCCCCCTAAGGCCTGCCATTTTGTCTTTTTGGATTTGCTTTACAACTTCTCCTAAAGATTGAACAAAAACAGCCTCGAGAAAACAAACGAGTTTTTTTTGGCAGACCCCATGGCCGCTTAGGCTAGGAACCTCAGCACATTGGGCCTGCCAGCTTGTTGTGTGTTTGATGTATTAAACGGTCTTGCAAGAAGATACATTTCTCCGCAAGAATGAACATCTGCCATCGCAGCGTGGACACTTCCCCCGCTAACTGCAGCCGAATTCTATTAATATTTGAATTAAGGAGAAGAAACACCTGGCTTGTCTTTCCCTGCTAGATTCCATCCAGATTATAACTAAAGTCTAGTTCCACAAAGTCCAGATACTTGGGAAGGAAATCCGAATTTAATTCTGTTTCAACATCATCAGAAGAAACAACCAGCTTGTCTTTCCTTACTAGATTCTAGTCATATAATATAGATTATAATGAGCATCTAAGTTCCAATTAGGTTCCACTCAACATCCAATGTGGAACGGATTTAGATTCGGAAGGAAATCCTGTTTGCAATATACTTGAACATAAAGTTCTTTCAAACTCAATATATGATCTCATATTGGGCCAACATCCTATTTACCTTTAAATTAAATTCAAAGTTCGAATTGACTTCCAATTGAGATCCCACTTGGAAGGGAGGTGCTAGTTGATTATTTTTAATTCAACAACTAATTCGCATTCAAATCCAAATCCCACCTAAATGTACAGCCTCGCAAAGTAAACCTTGCAAACCAGTTGGATTGACATCTGCATTTTTCTCCACTGGCTTTTACTATTTGTTTCACTCCTTTTAAGGGGTTTGCAAATCAGAAAATGTTTCAAACACTCAACAACACGCAAACCCTGCAACAGCCTCTTCTCCTGGAGCCGCTGCTCTCTTCATCCAAGGGGGACCACCCTTGGCTAGCTGCCGTTTTCATTGTTTGGGCGTTCTGCACTTGGCGGTGATTTCCCTCAACGGAGACCCCTGGTTTGAGAGGACTCTCCTACTGGGGCCTCCGGTAATTGTTTGAACCTCTGAGTAACCAGACCTAAAGGGACCCCTTGGAGAGCGCAAACTGGCTTGAGGTTGAAGCAAAGGTATCCTGCCATACAAGTGGAAAGCAAGGTGGTAGCACGCTCCAAGATGCAGAGTCGTTCTTGGCCATCGCAACTCCCACTGCCGGCTACAAGGTGCGGTGCTTTGCGAAGCCGGAGCTTGCGGGCCCGCGGCTGTTGGTGGGGAGGCCGAGTGCTTCCTTGCGGAAAAGTTGGCTTGGAGTTGAGGACAATGTGGGCGTGGGTCAAAATTGAAGCACTAGAAAAACCGCAGGTTTTAGTCCATGTGTCCATTCACCAAGGTTCCATTTTGGGTGTCTATTTTTGACCCACAGCCATGTGCTGTCCACCGCCAAAGGTCGGTTGGTCACGCTGGTGCTGACTAGGCCTGAGGTACCCTTGCAAGTAGCCTGCCCTTTCAACCATCCGTGAGGACATGTGCCATGGTTGAAAGACCTCTTTGGAAGTTCATGGACCCATAGGGAATCTAGACCATGGCAAGGATTCTTAGGGAGCCATGACCATGGACCATAGAGTCTTGAGGGACATGGGGGGAACATTTAGGAGCTCACTCAATTTGCCAAACAATTCAGCTCCTTTTTGGAGCTTCCGGAGTTTTGACCGTAACTTGGTGCCGGGTTTTTTCCTGATCCGCTCGCCGTTTCCGAGGCTGGGGAGCTTCCGCTGCAGAACTGCAGAGCGCAGGTGTCATGACAGCAGTGAGGGTTGCCAGCGGGGTGTTATTACATATGAGCCACGGACAAAACACACGAAGACCACTTTATCAAGGCGGGGTACGTTTGTGCATAACACATCCCAAAAACGATAACGTTCAAAAAAGTACTAGGGCCAAGTAAAGTGTTTCGTCCGCTCCTCATATGTTTTGCCCAACCCTGGTTAGGGTTGTGACATTGTGGGAAGGGCTTGGACCCCCACTTTTGTGACAGGGGAATTCCAATTTTTCTGGAAGTCAGGAAGTAGTTGCAGGGACTCTCCCGCCCAGAATCACCATTTTTATCTACCTTGACTGTTGCTGAGGCTTTCCTTGAAAACTGTGACCTTGCAATTTGAAGTCATCTTGGCACGAAAGAGACTCACAGCATGTGGTGGCCCCAAAATCCAAATCTGTACTTTGAGTTGGTGGATGGGCCCGAGTCTGTCAACCTTTTTCAGGGGCTCCCGCGCAGGATGCCTCCAACCTTCTGCAGGACCGCTCGGAAGGAAGGTGTATCCGTGCCATGCCAAAAGACTTCCAATTGGGCGATGGTTATCGACTCAAGGCTTCCTTTCAGAAATGAGGCTTTCGGCTATTCCATTGTCCAAGTCTCGCCTTCTGGATTTCTCTTGCCGGTCCTCCCTTTTGGGAGGCCTCGGGGACGTTGGCCCACAAGGGCCACCCACTGGCCGCTCCGCTGGCGTCTCAAGCAGGCACGAGCGGGCTCTGGAGCCGGCCGGTGCAGCTACTTTATGTGAGGGTGGCATGGACCAGAATTAAAGCCGCTGTTCCTTGGATTCGCTTGGGCTCTTGGATTACGCAGAGATTGCTCGATTTTGTTTCTGGCAACGGCCCACAGATGCTTGAAACGTCCAGGGATGTCAAACATATGGACCTTGGTGCTGCCTTGTGCCGAATTTTTGACAGCCGTCGTGTGAGTGCTCCACATGGGGGCCGCAAGTGCGAAGGTTTCCAGATCTTTCGAATATCAATGGGAGTTTCCGTATTCCGAAACATCCCTTCTTGCTTGGATGTTCCTTTCTTGGGACTGCCCCGTCCTTTGGCCAGGCGCGCTGGCAGATAGTCTCATCCCACAGGTGGCCGAAGTGGGGGGCGAAAGTGGGCGTAGGTTTGGCCACCGGCAGTTCCTCTTCTTCATGGTTGCGGACAAAGTCAATCGATTAACTCTGATGGAAGAGAGAAGGTGAACCGTTTCTGCTTTTGTGTTGATGTTTCTTTGAGCAATCCTGTAGTGCGGACATGTGCTGACCTCCGATGCCTAAACTCCCTTCAATCAGGAGAGCAAGCTCTTTGTTGCGATTTGTTATTTGCCACCGTGCAGACTCTTTGAGGCTTCTTGTTGCTTACATTTTGGCCTAGTTGCACAAATGCGCAGGCGAAAGGTAAGCTGGTGTCCTCTGATGAATGAGGCCGTGAAGCATTTTGGGTGTGACTAGGATCATCATTTTGTCCGTTTCTAGGGGTATAAAATTCAGCAACAGGCCTTCTTCGGGGATGATGATGATGATGATGATGATGATGATGATGATGATGATGATGATGATGATGATGATGATGATGATGATGAGGATGACGATGATGATGATGATGATGATGATGATGACGATGATGATGATGATGAACGATGATGATGAACGATGATGATGAACGATGATGGTAAAATGACGGCCAGTGTGACGCCTGAGCAGCCTTTTCCTTAACATCGCCTACACCTCGCCGATGCCGGCAAAATTTTACATTTTATTTGGCCATTCTAGTGCAAGAAGCAAATGTTGCCTGTTGCGCCCTCCGCCATCCGCATTGTGCTACAACCAGAGGTCCAAGATCGTCCTGCCTGGCACGTGGCGCGCCACCCAAGCAGTTATACTGAAACCATCAGCTAGCCTGGCAATTGGAGGCGCACTAGCTTGAAGTAGGCTGCTTTAGGGGTCCCTGAAGGTCATGTCTCAACCATCAACCCAAGGCTGATTCGATCAAAAGTGTGTGCTGGTTCGTTGAGCCACCGGGCTTGGGCAGGCCACGTCCTTTTGCAAGACTCCCATGTGGATGGGGCAGGGGGGAATGGGCCCAAATGAGCAGTGGGCGTGTGCTTCCTTTCCAACCTCATGCTTCTGACAACCTTTGGGTCCTGCTGAAACCCTGAAATGATGATTCCCCTGTAAATGCCAACGGACAGTGGTATCCTATGGTTTCAAAGTGGTGCGAAATGGATTTGGCCCATCCACAGTATTTCGGGTCCAAACACAGGGAACAGGGACTCAACACATCTCCAGGCTTTGGCCAACAGGGCGCAGCGGGCTGCCATGCCAGGACCCACCATGGGCCCGGGTGACTGGAACCCTCCCAGGAAATCAGGCGATCGAGCCAAGAACTTCGCCTTAGTTTGTTTTTGGCTTTTGTAGGTTTTCAGGGCCAGGACACCAGCTGTGATCTGGATTGGTGGTTTGGGGTTTCTTGGCTCTTATGGAGGGCGTTTTTGGGAAGCTCTCAACCACCAAACCACCCATTCGGCTCCAAAACCACCAATTGGAGGAAACCAGCTGTGAGCGCCTAGGACTTCGCGGCCTGACGCCGCCGAAGACGCCCGCGGGACGCGCGGCCAAGGACATGGGCAAGCCCACGCCCCA